CTCCTGCTCCTTGCAGCTGAATGATGTTTTCAAGCACATCCCTGGCTGCCACAAGCTCCAGCAGACCAAGTTCAGGTGAGTCACTGGGGAGAGAGCTCCTGTGGAGCAGGGTTCCCTCAGGGCCCTCCTGATGAGGGAGGGGACCAGAGGGCTGGAGTGTGACATCTGGAAGGCTGGGAGGGAATGTGGTCTGTGAGACATCCCTAGCACAAGCCTGGGGTGGTGCTTCCCTCACCCAGGACTGCAGAGCAGGATCCATCCAGCCATGCAGGTGATCTCAGCTGCATCTGGCTTTGAAGCTCAGGCTCCTACAGACAAATCCTGGTGCTCAGTGGAAAAATTCCCATTGACTTCAAATGTTTCAGCCCTGGGCAGAGTCACGAGATCCTGGTGCAGGACAGAGGGGCCTGGGGGTGCCAGTGAGGAGCAGGGAGCGTAACCCCCTCCCCAGAGCTCTGAGCAGGTGTGATCTCTCCCATGGGCACGTTCCTCATTGCATTTGGAAACCCAGGGCTGGAGGGAGCAGCCAGGCAGGAGGGAACATGTGATGGGCCCATGGGCTCTGCAGGAAGGGCTCCCCCCCCAGGGCAGCTGCCACCTGCTCAGACCTGCACAGGGTTGTGATTCACCCAGGACTTCATCTTCCCAAATGTGTTAGTCAACCTGATTTGTTCTTTTTTCTCCCCTCAGGTTACAGCCCAATTCTGGGAAAAGGTAAGAGGAACTTGCAGGCCTCTCTTGGGCTGCTTTGTACACACACGTGTGGGTGACTGGATGCCCCCCACAATCCCCAGCTGCTCTGTGTGATGAGCCCCCCCAGCCTCAGCTCTTTCCCACCTTGCTCTTCCCCCTGCTCACAGGCAGGACCACACCATTGTGGACACAGTTCTCACTGCCCCTCGCTCAGCCAAGCCTGAGATCATCAAAGTGATGGAAAAACACGTTTCCCACGAGGTTTTCAATGACCTGAAGGTTTCACCAGGTTATTACACCGTGACCTCAGACCAAGGTAAGGAGCAGGGCCCAGTGCTGCCTCCTGACTGGGCAGGAGAGGCATTTCCCACCTCTCACCATTGCCCCTTCCCCCAGATGCTCATGGAATGGTGGAGTTCCAAGAGGACGTGGAGCTGGTGGATGTCCGGGTGCCACTCTTCATCAGGGAGGAGGATGATGATGAGAAGCAGCTGCAGGTGGAGGCCATTGATGTCCCTACTGGCATCGCTGAGATTGGACGCAGACTTGTCAACATCACCATCATCAAGGAACAAGGTGAAGGGCTGTGACTCTGGCGTGAGTTGAAGGGCATTTGTGCTTGTGTCCCATGTCCAGGTGGACTCGTGTGGTTTCTAGGGAAGGTGCAACCTGTGTGTCTGAGCTTCCCCAGATCACAGGCCAGAAGCTTGTTTGGTGACTCCTATCTTGTCACCTGGGTCTAAAACTGAAGCATCTTTTAAAGCATCCAAACAAGGGTCATCATCCCTAGTGACAGAGACACAAACAGTTGCCCATGAGATGCTACCAATTGCACGGCAGATCCAGGGCTGATCCTCTGCTGCCCCAGTTCATAGGTTGCTGGAGTAAAGTAAAACCTCTTTGCTGTTCTGTTGTGCCTGGGGCAGAGGAATGTCCCCAGCACTTTGCATCCACTTCCCATCTGGTTGTTCTGAGCAGGGAGCGCAAGTCAAGAGTGGTAAAATCTCCAGCCTATCCTGACTGGGCAGGAGAGGCATTTCCCACCTCTCACCATTGCCCCTTCCCCCAGATGCTCATGGAATGGTGGAGTTCCAAGAGGACGTGGAGCTGGTGGATGTCCGGGTGCCACTCTTCATCAGGGAGGAGGATGATGATGAGAAGCAGCTGCAGGTGGAGGCCATTGATGTCCCTACTGGCATCGCTGAGATTGGACGCAGACTTGTCAACATCACCATCATCAAGGAACAAGGTGAAGGGCTGTGACTCTGGCGTGAGTTGAAGGGCATTTGTGCTTGTGTCCCATGTCCAGGTGGACTCGTGTGGTTTCTAGGGAAGGTGCAACCTGTGTGTCTGAGCTTCCCCAGATCACAGGCCAGAAGCTTGTTTGGTGACTCCTATCTTGTCACCTGGGTCTAAAACTGAAGCATCTTTTAAAGCATCCAAACAAGGGTCATCATCCCTAGTGACAGAGACACAAACAGTTGCCCATGAGATGCTACCAATTGCACGGCAGATCCAGGGCTGATCCTCTGCTGCCCCAGTTCATAGCTTGCTGGAGTAAAGTAAAACCTCTTTGCTGTTCTGTTGTGCCTGGGGCAGAGGAATGTCCCCAGCACTTTGCATCCACTTCCCATCTGGTTGTTCTGAGCAGGGAGCGCAAGTCAAGAGTGGTAAAATCTCCAGCCTATCCAATAATACTTCACACATGGTTCACAGCCAAGGGTGGTAGGAACTCTGTTCAGGGAGGACACCTGCCTGTCTGTGATGTGACCCTACGTGTATTGACTCTACATGTTCCTTCTCTGCTGCCCCTTCCAGCCAGCAGCCTCATCACCTTCCTGCAGCCAGCCTATTCCCACAGCCGCTTTGACAAGGTGGCCAAGATCCCTGTCCTCCGGGAGATCATAGACAACGGGAAATCCCAAGTCACCTACAGGACCCGGGATCTCACTGCCAAGGATGGCAGGGTAAGGGGGATGCTCTGGCCTTGGCAGGCAGGAGTGGGTGGGCACAGAGGGCTGGGAAGGAACTGACCCTGGGGCTGCAGGACAGCAGTTGATGGGGCTCAGTGGGGATGTTTGTTGGGAGAGGGGAGACCCAGGGCTTGAGGTTAGCAAAAGGGCAGACTTTGTCCTCCACCCCTTGCTGCATGTGCCCTGGGGACCTGAGAGGCTGCCTGTACCAGAGGCAGAGGGTACCAGCTGTCCCCTGAGCTGTGGGTACTGGAGGGTAAGTTGGGATTCATTGGCTGAGAAGGGGAAGCTCTCTGGGAACCTTCTCATGGAGATGCTGTGGGCTATAATCTCACACCTCTTCCATCTCCTCCAGGACTACATCTTCACAGAGGGTGACCTGGTCTTCCAGCCCGGGGAGACCCGAAAGGAGGTGCAGATCCCCTTGCTGGAGCTGACAGAAATAGATACCCTGCTCCACACCAGCCAGCTCAAGCAGTTTGCCATCGACCTCCTCCATCCCAAGTACGGCGCCAAGATCGGGAGATACCCCCAGACCACGGTGACCATCGCCGACCCAGGTAGGGGCTGGCAGCCGGGGGGGGGGCTGTGGGGCAGGGCTGTGGGGTCCCCAGGGTGATGCTCAGAGCTCCAGCCCTGCTCCTCATCCAAAACCCGGCGATGAGGAGGTTCCTCCAGCTCCGGCTGGTAGGTTTGTGCCTCCCTCTAGAGGCATTAGTGGGTACAGTGAGTGGGAAGAAGATGATGGATCATCTACCTCTCTCGAGGAAGCAGAGTGGATTCTTCATTCCTCTTCCTTGGGGGTTTGAATAAAAAGCTATAAAAAATAGGAGAGAGGTGGGATTTGCCATGAGCTGTGCTTGGTGGTTCCTGTGGGTGGACAAGAGAAGCTGTAAGGGTTGTCATCAAATGGGTCAGTTACATAAAGGTATTTATCACATGTATGAATATTGGAGGTATAAGAAAGTCCCTTGTCACTGGACCAACCAGAACCACTTCCGTGGCAGGCACTGGGGCTGGAGAAGCTCCAGTGACCTCTTGGCTGGACTTGGTGGGTTTCTGGGAGAAGCAACTGGGTGACTTGAGAAGGTTCTGCCCATCTCTGTCCTCTCATGCCTGCACAGGGCAACTGGTCAAGATGTTGAAACATTATTAAACACATTCAGACAGATAAAGATTTTCAGGGGCAAGAAGGTGGTCTCTTCATTTCTTTCTGCCTGGACAGCCTGTGAGAAGCAGCAGGAAGTGTAGGACTTGGGGAATCTGAGCCTAACTCTCAGCTCAGCTTGCTGTGTGGCTTTGGAGTATGTCAGCATCAAGTGCCTCAGTTTCCCTTCCCTAGGCTGGTGACATACCCCAGCTTTGAGAGGCTCCCTGGGGATGGCAGGGCAGTGCTGGATAGGGTCACACTTCCTTCTTTTCCTTCCGTGCTGGGGACCAGTACTGATGTGACCTTTCTTTCTCATGTCTGCAGAGGTGGTGGATGGTGTCCCCTCGATGACTGGCCTGAGCCAGGTCCCTCAGTCCCCCAAAGGCCGCCTGAGTGCCCCACTTAATCCCAGTGCCCATGCTCTCAGCTCCAGGGAAATCCGCTTCAGCTGGTTTCCTCCACCAGGAAAACCTCTGGGGTACAAGGTAAGGGGTGAGTGGGTCCCAGGGGAGGGTGTGGGGCCCATCCTGGGGCTTTTTCACACACATGGTCACTTGTGCCAAAGGGATGGGGAGAAGACAGCCAAAAGGGGGAGCAAATTCACCACCTCTATGGCCCCTCCATCTTGAGGAAAACTGGCTGGGTGGATGTGGGATTTGCAGGAAAGATTCCTGGTGGGTTCATCTCCCTTTCCACCACTCACCATGAGCTGCCCAGACTGTTCTGGCCTCACACTTCAGAGGGACAGCACAACACCCTGGCTTGCCCAGAGCAGATCCAGGGAGAGATGAGGATTTTCTCACCCATTATGGCGAGGATCGAAAGGAATCATGGCTTGCTCTTGCTTTCCCAGGTGAAATACTGGATCCAAGGGGACCCTGAGTCAGAAGCCCATCTCATTGATGTCAAAGCACCATCAGCAGAGCTGAGTAACCTCTACCCCTTCTGTGACTATGAGATGCAAGTCTGTGCCTACAACGCCATGGGGGAAGGGGTTTACTCAGACGTCACCCATTGCCGCACGCTTGAGGATGGTGAGTGACTCCTTGGGAGCAAGTTGGTGTCTGTACATGGGTCAGGTCTCCAGCCCTGACCTTCTGATGGTCTTGTGGGCTCCCACTGCAAGCCAGCTGTCACCCAGGGAGCTTTGGGCATCTGTGTCCACTGGCTGCTGGTGACCTGTGCTCTTGCCTTTCCAGTCCCTAGCGAGCCCGGCCGCTTGGCTTTCAATGTCGTGTCCTCCACCGTGACACAGCTGAGCTGGGCTGAGCCTGCAGAAACCAACGGGGAGATCACGGCCTATGAAGTCAGTTATGGACTTGTCAACGAGGACAACAGTAAGAACTCATGTTCTGACCTGGGCAGTCCAGCCAGGCTGAGGGGCTGGAGTATGCTTTCCACTGGCTGGGCTGGTCCCAAGCAGCAGCAGAACCAGAATGGTTCCAAGCATCTCTCTTGTGAAAACTGGGATCTGGAGGGGTCATTTTATGATGGAAGGAGTACAGAAAAACCATCACTCAGGATCTGATCCTGCAAAGCCTGAGGGCTTTCTGTTCCCATCCACTTCCATAGTGTTTTGTGTTGTTTTTCATCTTAAAAACTTGGTTCATAAGTCTAGACCCAGGGTCAGGGTGCCAGGAAGATGCAATTGGGTGATGCACCAGCAACAGCAGACCTCTGCTGTAGGTTGACTTCAGCATTCAGTCTGGGATGTCATGCCTGTCGTGAGCAGCACACATAGCTGCTGCTCCTTGTCCCAGAACCAGGCCGTGTCCTGACACCAAACCTCAGCCAGCCTGTTGGCCAAGGGTGGGGTGCTGTAGGGTCTTCTGTGTCTCTTGACCCCATGGGTGATAGGCAGATCTCTATTTTCAGTACCCATTGGCCCAGTGAAGAAGGTGCTGGTTGAAGACCCGAAGAAGCGCATGGTGCTGATAGAAAACCTGCGGGAGTCCCAGCCCTACCGCTACATGGTGAGGGCCAGAAATGGTGCTGGATGGGGACCTGAGAGAGAAGCCACCATCAACCTTGCTACCCAGCCCAAGCGCCCAATGTCCAGTGAGTTCTTGCCCTGCCTGGGTGGGGAGCAGCAGGGGGGCAGGATCAGAGCTGGGGGTGCTCCCCATCATCACCCCAGATGCTTCTCCACATCCCATCCGCTCAGCGAATGCTGGAGTATGGGAAACCTTGTGTGACTTTGAGCTGTATGTCTGATGGCACTTCTCACCTCCCCCTTCCAGTCCCCATCATCCCCGACGTGCCCATCATTGATGCAGAGGGAGGTGAGGACTACGACAGCTACCTGATGTACAGCACAGACGTGCTCCGCTCTCCCGCCGGCAGCAAACGTCCCAGCGTCTCCGATGACTCGGGTACGTCGCCCTGAGCTCTGCAAAGGTCACTTTGAACACTTCTTTTCCTTAACAGCAGCTTTCAGCAGTGAGCTTCCCTGCTCCTTTCCTCCTCGTGGAGGTGGGGAGAACCAAGTCATGGAGATGGTGGAGATCAGCTTGTCCAAAAGTAGCTGCATCCGTGGGAACATTTGACTAGTCACAACGTTAATAAGAGCAGTGCTGCCTTGTCTTAGCTGTGAGGCAAAGACACATCTCAGCATGGGGTGGGAGAGGAGCTTTTCATGGCCCTCCCTGCTCATCTTCCCTTCCTGTTGCCATTTGGCCAGACCACAAGAGTTACTGTCAGCAAAAAAACACTGTCAAGGCACAGACCTCTGAGTCCATTGGATGCTCAGGGTCTTGGCCAAGCCAACAGGAGGCAATCCACCAAGTGCTGGGAGGGCACTGGCATCTCTTCCTCTCTGGATGAGGTTGGCTCCCTTGTTTTGTAGTGGGGAAACAAGGGGAAGTTGGGCCATGATGTCAGTAGGATCTTGAGGGTCTTCTCTGGGAGGGATTCTCCAGGGTATGGGATCCAGGAGTGAGTCCCTGCTCCTTTCAGAGAGCAAGGTAATGGGAACACCAAGAGTTCAACCATCCTGAGCATGCATCAAGAAGTGAGGAAACCTCTCCTGAGCAGAGAACAATTGTCGCAGACTCTTCGTGACAGGGTGGTGGGACTTTGACTCTCACCTTTTGTTGTGATGGACACAGGGCTGAAAAACTGCCCCGGGGTTGAAGAACCCCACGCATGTCATGTTCCCACCATCCTCCAGCTACCAGTCACACGATGGTTGCACCTCCTGAACTCATCAGCCAACACTGGGCCAGACAGGCTGTGAACGGGCATCGCTGCCACTGGTGCCTGCCCCTTCCCCTCCCCAGCAAGCAGCACAAAAGCAGTGGGTAGCCCACTCTGTCCCCTCCAGATCATGCCAACACCAGTGCTTGCCTTGTCCCAAAAGTCTCCAGGTGGAAATATGTGCAGTTGCTGGGAGAAGACTTGGATCTTCGCCGCATCACCTGGAGGCTCCCACCTGAAACCATTCCCCGCCTCTCTGGCAGCAGCTGCTTCTCCTCGGACACCGAGGGTCTCCTCCATGAGGAGGACAGTGACGTGCCTACTGGCAGCCTGAGGAGGAGTGGGACACCCCGGCCCCAAGCAGGTGAAGGACAGCTTCGTTACAGCACTGAGTGTCCTGTCTCATCCTGCTCTGAGCCGAGGGGCTGGCAGCTGGGGTCTGCCCCAGTTTGTGTCCCCTTCCCTCCCCTTCTGTGCCCGTCCTCGTGTTGGCATGATGTGCTCTTCACGTGCTGTAATCTGCTCCAAAACCTTGTCCTGGTGTGTCATCTCACAAGAGTGTCAAGGTAACCCCCATCTCGGCATGGACTTGGGAGCCTGCTAGCAAGTTGCTTCTACAAAAGGCTGGACCTTTGAGGCAGGAGTAAACTCAGATGAGATCTGCTAAGTGCCACCTCCAAGGGCAGCTCCTCATCTTAATTAAGTGCCCTGAGCCTCTGGGGCAGATCTGCTGGACTCTGAAACAGGAATCACTCATGGATAGCTGATCTCCCCCGGCCTGCTGGGAAGGGATGGGGGTTTGTCAAGGACCAGAGCAATGGAGCAGAGTTTGCCTTTCAGATCCAGCTGAAATGGAATCCAGAGTGAGATTTGGAGAAACCACCTCCATGAAGGGCTTTTTTTTTTTTTCCCTTTTTCCACTTTCTTTTTTAATCTGAAATTCTAAGCCTGTGCTTGCATCTAAGGAGAGATGTGAGAGAACGTGGCAAGAACCACAAGGCAGTGCCCCAGGGAGGCCGAGGTCTGGAGTTACCTTGGGCACCATGAGTGTCCCTGGTTCTGGGTGTAGGACAAAGTCTCCGTTTACCTGTTTGTTTCCCTGTCATTGTGTTGGGTCATTGTGGCTTGTTCTAGATGTAGTGCTCCAAAACAACCTTCCAGAGTGGCTGAAGCCAGGATGCAGACAAGGCAGGATGCTTCCTCCCCATGGAAAAGGGAGCAGCAGACCTGTCCACAGCCATGTTCCTCACGGTGTGTCCTCTTTCACAGAGCACTTGCTGAATGGCCGGGTGGACTTCTCCTTCCCTGGCAGTGGCACTGGGACACTGACCAGGACAACAAACACCAGCTACCACCAGCTGAGCCAACACATGCAGCAGGAGCACAGGGTGATAGGGAGCTCCTCCCTGACAAGAGACTACTCCACGATGCTGATGGGGCATGGTGAGTTCTGTGGTGATGGGACCTGTCCTTCCCTTCTGCTCCCATGAGTCTCTTCAGACCCATGCACTCCAGGGAGAGCACGTGTGTCCTCTTATTATTCTGTCTAGCTGCATGTTTGCCTTTCAGCTCCACGTGTACCTCAGGTGGCACTGACAGAAGTTTGTTAAAAAAGGCTCTTCAAATCTGAGCCTTAAAAAGTCATCTCTGCAGGAGCCAGCCCCTGGGCTGAACCTGCTCTGAAGTCTCCAATGGTGTTTTTCTCTCTTTCTCTTGCACTGCTTCTGTAGATTCCCCAGGGAGACTCCTCCCTCCCATCCATGAAGATGCTGGGAGGACAATCCCACAGCCCTGGGATGTGGGTTTCAGGAGCAGGGTAAAGGTGAAGGGTTACTACCCCAGCACTGGCTTTCGGGACTCTATAATCATGCCTGATGGGTCCGCAGGGATGAGCAAGTACATAGGTACAGCTTTGTCCAGTGTCTGCTCCCAGCCACACATCCCACCACAGCCAAACCATGGGCTGTCCATGAGCTGTTGCCATCTCCTCATCCCAGACTCTCACTCCATGGCTTACTGTGCACAGCACTGATCTTCCTCCTGACCTGGCCTGTGCCTCCATCTCACCACCTTTCCATTTGCAGGTGACTTCAGCTGAGTTTCAACCCACCCGGGCTGATTAACACTCACCACCACTGCCAGTGTGCTCTAACCAGTTGATCAGCTCATTGTCCCCAGCCTCATTATTCCTAACAAGCCTGTTCTCAGCTTCACCCCACAGGCTTTTGGAGAACTTTTGGGGAGAACGTGTGCTCCATAGGAGATGTCCCTCTGCAAGCTCCTTGGCCAAAGCCCATGTCAATGAGGGACTCCAGTCCTTGGGTGCCACCTGGGATGCTGCTGTGTCCTGGGCCTTGTGTCCCAGTGGGATGAGTTGGGGGGAAGAGCTACAGCACCCAGTCCTGGTTCCAGCCCACTGAACAGTCCCTGGAGGTGCTGGGCTGCTTTACCTGTAGACTAGGGCTAGTCTTAACTGAGCTATGTCTGAAGATGTCTGTGAAGCTTCTGGCAGACCGGACAGGGTGCTTTGGGTTGAGCAAGGAGAACCTCACCCAGCATCCCAGGCCTCTCCTCTGGTCTCTCTACCACAGGAATGTGAAGCTTACCTTGACTTGTCCTACTCAAGGTTGGCACTCCAAGGCCATGAGATGTCCCTCTGGGTGTGCAGAGCCAGCCAGCTCCCTCTCATGACAGGACAGCTTGCAGAGATGACATCTCACCACATTCTCCCCAGACCTTTGGGACCATCCCACGCTTGCGTGTGCTGCTCCCTCCTCTCCCCTAGATCCCTTAGCCCCCAGTTCCCAGGTCTCCCCCTTGATGTTCCCTTTTTGCCTCAGACTCCAGGCTGCCACTGGGCATCCCTGACACCCCCACACGCCTGGTCTTCTCCGCCCTGGGACCCACATCCCTGAAGGTGAGCTGGCAGGAGCCCCACTGTGAGAAGGAGGTGCAGGGCTACAGCGTGCAGTACCAGCTCCTCAATGGAGGTCAGTGAACAGGCAGCTGGTGCCCATCAGGCAGTTGGTGGTGGGAGTTTCTGGTGGTGGAGAGTCTGGTCTGGCTCTTCTCCTGGGCAGCTGGCTCTGGGTGACCCTGCACTGATGTCTCCTTTCCCTGTGTGTCCCAGGAGAAGTGCACCGACTTGCCATACCCAACCCCAGCCAGAACTCAGTGGTGGTGGAGGACCTGCTGCCCAACCACTCCTACATCTTCAAGGTGAAGGCGCAGAGTGAGGAAGGCTGGGGCCCTGAGAGGGAAGGAGTCATCACCATCGAGTCCCAGGTGGACCCGCAGAGCCCGCTCAGCCCTGTGCCAGGTGAGGTGGGTGGGGAACAGGAGGAGGGTGGCACTGATGTCTCTGCTGCTGCCTGCAGTGCTGGCCTTGCTGTTTTCTCCCCTCTTACACATCCTGAGCTCTCCTTCTTTTTGTTTAGAAATAGGACCTTCTTCCCCATGCACTTCCCTTCCACTAATTATCTAGATAGCTGAGATCTTACAACTTCTTTTATAAATGCTGTGTGCAGGTCCCTCCCAGGCTCCTCCTCACCACCTTCTGCATTTCTGACCTCTTGCTCGTGCCCTTGTAGGTTCACCCTTCACGCTGAGCACACCCAGTGCTCCAGGACCACTGGTTTTCACTGCCCTCAGCCCTGACTCCCTGCAGCTCAGCTGGGAGAGACCCCGCAAGCCCAATGGGTCCATCTTGGGCTACATGATCACCTGTGAGATGCTGCATGGAGGAGGTAGGGTAGCAGGCTGTGGAAGCTCATTTCCCTGTGTAGAGCACAAGATACCCCCAGCAAAGGCAGCAACTTGCTGTGTCTTTGTTGGGACCAGCAACAAAATGTTCTGCTTCTGTGGATGCAAAGAGGGGACATGAGGCTGATTCCAGGCCTGGGAGCTGCTGGACCCTGACACTTCATGTCATTGCATGGTGTGGTGTAACAGATGTGGTGGGTAGAGGGAGGACTGGTTGCTTGTTACAGCCCAAAGCCAGTGGAGGTTGCTTGAGGATCACCACTACTGAAATAGGGTTGTCTTAACCCTTAGGAGACCTGGGGGCAATCAGACAGTCTGTGGGTGGTATAAAGCTCAGGGAAAGCCAAGAGAGCAGCCAGAGTTGGGGGGCATGTGTTTGGAGGGACTGTCACTCCTGTCTGTCTTCACCACTGGTATGTCTTTGTGGATTAGGGGAGCCCAGGAATATTTATGTTGAAGGAGACAATCCAGAAACGACCCTGACTGTGCCCCACTTGAGTGAGAATGTCCCATACAAGTTCAAAGTGCAAGCCAAGACCACCCAGGGCTTTGGACCAGAGAGAGAAGGCATCATCACCATCGAATCTCAGGATGGAGGTACAGGACCATGTCTTTGTGGAGGTGCAAAGACAAGAAACCTCTTAAGACAGGGAACACAATTCTTGGAGTCCCTTTCCAGCTCTGATGGTGACTCCATTTGCTGTGAAGGACATGGAAACATTGTCTTCCATGAAGATAATGCTGTGCCTTGTGAGCACTGTCCCAGTCCTGATGCACCAAATGAGGGAGGATCATGACAACCTGCCAGTGTTGAATTTATCATGAAACTTCTGTTTTAGGGACACAGTATCTGGAGGTACCTTCTTACACTGCACAGGTGTAAGACCTTCCCTGCCTTCCCAGTTCCTCCTAAGCCTGGCTCTGGTGTCAGCAAGAGAAACCTCTTGAGATGACTGTTGATGCTCACTGTTCAGGGTTGAGGGGTTGGAAGCTCCTGGTTGTTTCCTGGCTGACTCGTCCCTTTTCCTTCTCCCCAGGTACTTTCTCCCAGTATGCAGGGCAGCAGTACATGAGAGAAGAAGTGTACAACTTCCCCACCGAATACACCACCAAAACCAGCATCAGCCATTCCTCTCTGGATCCCCACTTCACAGGTAGGGGCTCCCTGTCTGCTTTGAAACCCTCAGAAAGCAAAGGACAGCTCTGCTTGTCCAGAGGTCTCTTACCTTGTCAAAGGCAGGAAGGGAGGGTCCATCAGGTGGGAGTGATGGAGAAGACCAGACCCTTTCCTGCACTGTGTCCCTGCTCTGCCCCAGAGGCATTTGCAGTTGTTTCCCCACGTGCTGCCCACGCACAGAGGGATCTTTCAAAGAGGGTTTCCCTCAGTGAAAGTGGTACTTAAGGAGAAACCCCTGCCAGGACTCATCAGGTAGAGCAGATCCTATTCCCTGTACCTAGCAGGGTGTCCTGACCCCTGATCCTCTGGTTGCAGATGACCTGCTCATGACAACCCAGCGCGTGGAGAGCGCCAGCAGCACCCTCACCAAGCAGGTCACCAAAGAGTTTGTGAGCCGGACCGTGACGTCCAGTGGGACCCTCACCAAACAGATGGAGAGGCAGTTCTATGAGGCCTGAGCCAGGCCAGGATGTCCCCCCGAAGGGTCGTTCTTGTTCAGGTGGCAGGACTTTGTGGAACCAACCAAGGGTCCTTCAGGCAGGCCGTGGTGTGTGGGCAGAGATCCTGCAAGGCACTTCAAGCTCTGGACATCTCCTTTGGAGCCCAGCACACCCAAAGTTCTGGCATGGTTGGGTCACCAGGTGTGGGCTCATCCTTAAGGGCTTCTTCAGCCTGTCCTGCTCTGCAGGGACTCGATTCTGCAGAGTCCACAGGAACGTCTTCCATGAACAATCACCACTCGCTGCAATACCATTCCTCAATGCCCATCCATCCCAACACACCTACCAAAATCCAGGTGTCTCGATGGCTCCAGCCTCCCCAGATAAACAGAATGGAATGATTTCTTCTCAGGTCCTCATTTTTGAGAGGATCCCAGCTGGTGTCATCCTGATTTACAGAAAGTCACCATTTCCCTCATTGCTCCAGGCTCTCTGGCAAATCTGCCTGTCCCCTGGAGATGGTTATTTTGTTCTGTTTGGGTTGTTTTTTTTTCACACAAGAGCTGCCAGGTGGGGCTTGGGGTAACCTGTGCTTTCTTACTGCACCTTTTTGTGTCTGTCCTTTGCTGCTGACATTTGGTACCACGATAGCAAAGTATAGCTTTTCATTTGTATGGCATGACTCCTGAGGGCCCCTGATGCTTTCTTTTTAATTATTAATTTTTTTTGCAGACAAAATTGTACAGTTTTCACAGTATATATATAAATATAAATGTATTTTATTATTAAAAAAAAAAAATGGAGGTGGATGAGATCTGTGCTGAATGTGGAGGCTGCAATGAGAGTGTGGCTGCTGAGAAACATGATGAACTGGAAGAAACTAGTTCAGGACTTGATCCAAAAGCCACAAAACCTTGTGGAAAGTCTGTTGATGGCTCTGCCTTGGGCCTGATAAACTCCAGCAGAAGGTTGCAAGTGGCCAGACCTGCTCCCTGCCCAGCACCCACCAGCATGGAAGGGTTTGGGAGCTGCCTGGAGGTGGGAGATAAGGACAGCCCGGGCAGTGGTACCTGGAGATGGGAACGGTGCCTGGGATTTCTTACATGGCTGTTGTGGAGAGCATGAGATTTTGGGACAGAATTTGTTGGCTATCTTTGAAAAGCCCTTTTGCCCAACAACAACAACATCCATAAATGGACCTGTGATCTCTCCGTGAACAGCAGGGAAGAGCAAACCTGGGAAGAGCAGGCTCTCCTCACCCCGAGCACAGCTCTGAGCCTTCCTTGGCCTCAGCTGTCCTTGCACAGCGCTGGCTGCAGGGCTGAGCTGAGGCCTTGCTGGACCTCGTTCCCCAGCTCCTGGCACAACGCCTGGCATCTCACTGCCCTCTGCCAAGGAGAACAATTGGGCTCCATGTCTTGCTGAGCAGTGTGTTCCCCTGGCTGCCTGGGAGCAGGTGAGGAGCCTGCCAAAAGCAAGGATCCTGCCCCAGCAGCAGCTGCCTCTGCTCTGGATTAGACCTTCCAGCCAAAACAGCAGCTGCCCCATCTCCCTGGCAGCTTCATCGGCCTGATTTGATCTGACATTAGGCTTTGGCTTTTTCGGTTTGGGTTTGTTGATTTTTTTTGCTCTTATATTTTTTTTGGGACTCAGAAGACTTCCCAGCATTGATACCACTGAGAGCTCCCTGCCCTCCTCTCTGGGCTGCTCATTTGAGTGGGATGGGTCATAAATGTTGATGCCAAAGATGTAGGTGGGTGAGTAAAGTGCACAGGATTCTCCAGTACTGCAGCTGGAGCTAGGAAAGGCTTGAACTTGGGTCAAGAGAAACTTCACCAACCCTGTGGCTTTACTGTGCCTTCAAGAAGCACTTACTAGTCCTGAGCAAGTCCCAGTGGTGTTATCCCGCCTCCCAGTTCCCCTCTCACCTTTGTGGTTGAGGTTTCCACTCCAGCTGTGTTTTCTCCTAGACAAGGACTCCATGACCCTTTCCCTGAGCTTTGTGGTCAAGGGTAAAACAGTGAAAACTGCCCAAATGGGAGCCCTATTTCCAAGGATTTTAACCAAAGATGATCCTGTTATCCAGGAGGAGGGCACAGCCCAGCAGCTGCTGCTCTCCAGCATGTGCCCGTGCCCAAAGCACTGCACACCCACCCCTGCCTCATGCTAGAACAGTCTCACTATTTAATTTTCATCTGGACATTAGGGCTGGTGGTTTTTCAGCCTTTCCAAGGTGGATCCAGCAGCCCCTTCTGACAGAGGGTCTTTGATCAGATGGTTTCCTATTGCACTCAGTAAATGTTTTCTCTACAGTCTGCCTCTTCCCTTTTCTTTAAAAATTAATCTAAAAATCCTTCCCCTTCACTACCCTCCATCTGCAGCAGCAGATGACAGACACATGCTAGAAGCAGATACCCAAGCAGGGCTTTCTGCCAAGTGTCAGTGCCTGCTGCTCTTCCAGTGCCACCCCCTCATGTGACTGCAGCTCCAGGGACATTCCTGGACCCCACGTCCCCAGTAATGGCTCATTAGGAAAGGTTCCCAGTGACTTTCAGAGCTCATCTCAGGTGGGTGTGGAAGGACTGTGCAAATGTTTTACATTTATTAGGCAAATGGTGCAGATGGACACATTGATTCCCTTGTGAAGTGAGGAAGACAGCAGCCTCCTGAAGGGTGGAAGTCCCAGCTCAGGTGAGGTGCTCACTCCTTTACAGGGGCAGCAGCTTTGCCCCTCCGGAGGGTTTGGTGAGGTAGAAGGTGGCTGTGCCACTGTATTTCTCCTAGGAAACAAGAGGAGCAATGAGTGGATGGATGGATGTTGCCCTGGCCACTGCCTGTGGTCCATGCACAGCATGGGCTGGGAGGCTGTCAGCACATCCCCAAGCTGATCCTTCAGCAGCCCCTCATGAATCATTCTCCATGACTTTTTCCAACAGCTTTTGACTCTGCTTGTGCTGCTGCCCTCCATGGCCTCTGGCAGCAGCAGAGAACTGCCACCCTCCCACCCCCCAGCTTTGCATGGTGCTTCCTCAGCTCTGGTGTTCTCCTAACTTATCCAGGGGTCACTGGTTCTTATTTTGGAGGACCTCAGGGTCAGTCCCACACTCACCTTATCTACCCCCTTTGCTGTTTTGTAACTCCTGGTCACATTCCCTCTATTCCAGCATCTCATCAGATGGCAGAGGCACAGACCTTTCAGTCTCTCCTTGTTTCACACACCTTCCTCTGCCCCTTTTGTATCTCCTCCCACTATTTACAGGGTGCACCATGATCTTATATAGCAGCAAAATGAGGCTCTCCCTCTTTCACAGCCCCCGTTTTTGACACCCCCATCTTGCTGGCATTTTTACCCACCAATGCTCACTGAGCTACTGTTTTAGAGAACACTGATGACAGCACTGAGATCTTTTCTGGGCTGTAACTGCAGGTGTAGAGCTCAGCATTGCCTAAGCTCAGCTTGGGTTACTTTTCCCTAGACAGCTTTAGCCTTCCTGAAGATCAGTGGCACCTTTTTGCTCACTTTCTCAGTGCAGGAAGGTCCTTGGGCAATGGTCTGTGACCACCATGGTGCTGAACTGCCTGCAAGAGCTTAGCAGCATTAATGGGCTTAGGGCACAGCACTGGATGGGCTGCACCAACCCCAAGTGCCTCAGGACCTTCAATGGCAACCCCAGGCCCTGAGTGGATCCCCTTGGGATCTTTAAGCCAATCTCCTGGCACTTTTCTGCAGTGTACCTGGATATGGTGCTGGGCTCTCTCTGCAGTGCCAGCCTCCAGCAGTGTCACTGTGCAGCCTCCGAAGCCCCCCCCAGCCATCCTGCTGCCATAAACCCCATCGACCTCCAGGGTTGCCTCTACCAGCTCATCCAGCTCCGGGCAGCTCACTTCATAGTCATCCCTGGAGAGAGGAGACCCATGATCAGCCCTCTCCTGCACCCCAGCCATAGCCCCTGCTCCCCAAAGGGCTGAAACATGTGTCTTGGTGCACCCATGGCAGTAGCAAACTGCAGGGATGCAGGATGCCAGAGATCCTGGTCCAGTTCTCTGTCTGTAAGTGCAGAGCATCAGGGACCTGCTGGGTGCTGCCATGTCTGGTTAAGAAGCCATGTCTGTAACATATGTGACCAGCTGCCTCAACCCAGCTCCCCCTGGTGCAGAAGCCTGGGGGGTCTTTTCTTCAAACTCCCCAGCAGGCTGAGCCATGAGAGACACCAGGCAGGACATGGTGCTGGCTGCCCCCAGTGCTGCACCTGCAGGCAAGGGAACCCCATGAGGACTCGACACCAGTGCCCCAAGGGTGGCACATCCTCACCTGAGGGAGTTGTGACTCTCCACCATCAGCCTCCCAAACATCCTGTAGTCCTTGTCCTGCAGCGCTTGTGCTGCCCGGGCTGTCCGTGCTATCTCAGTGATGACGTGCCTGGCCCGTCGGTACACCTCCTCACCCAGCTGGCTCCTGGCCCCTGTGGGGACATGCACCTCCCTGCAGCAAAGCCACTCGGGCCTGTGGGATGCTGCTGGGTGTGAGCAACGATCCTGTGTCAGAGCTTTTCCCCTCGCGGGATGTTCCCACCCCGCTGCGCACACTCGCCCACCTCTCCCAGGTGCTGCCCCACAGGCTCAGCCCATGCTATGGGGCACCCAACTCCTGAGAGCAGCTGGAGCCAAGGGAGGGACTGTCCCCACCTTCCAGCTCGGCCATGGTGGCATCTCTCAGGCTGGCCTTGCCAAGAGCAGCTGCTGCCTCCTCGCACTGCCGCCGGCGCGTGGGGTACTCGCTGCCCGTCAGCGTGTGCCGCACGTTGGAGTTGGTGATGAGGATGGCCAGGCTGGCATCGGTCAGTGGGACAAGGGTGGTCTCCAGGGACCTGCAGTGACAGCTCAGCGTGGGCCACATGTCTATCCTTCCTGCCCTCTCCAGCCCTCAGCCACCCAGGAGAGGCCACGTGGCAGGGAGCTCCTGCCTCCACAGAGGCAAAGTCCAAGTGGTTTAGGATTTTTGCTCCAGCATTTCACTC